GTTACCTTCAGGCATGATATTTGCATGTAAATTATTCAGTTATAGGAGGAAGGAAAAAAATAACTGTTAGGATTTGTCTGCGGGGGCCTTTTCAGCACAAATGCCACTGAAGTTGCTGTGCTGAGTGCCTGGTTCAGGAGGTGCGGGCAGGTCCCAGTGCGGCGCCTCTCGTGTGGCCCCTCTGACCAGCTCTTCAGATGCCTTCAGCAGTGCTCGTCTTTCTTGCTTGATAAGGACTGTAGAGTGATTCAGACAATCTAAATTATGCCTTTGGCCTCCAATGTCTTAAAAAGAGGGCTTAATGAAGAGATTAATATAAAGATATTATATTTTAATGTCCACATGACTCATAATATTCCACGATGCAGATGCTGGATTAATGGAGTATGAGATGGAACTTTGTTAAAATTTGATGCAGTTTGCTTTTAATAAACTTCTCATACTTTTCCATTTTTGAGGGGGCCTCAAACAGGCTGTGTGGTAAAGATTACAGAGTACTGAAGCAAGTAACTCTTAAGAGGAGCTCTTCTTTTAAGGCTTGCATTGTCTATGTTCACATAGTACATTTCTGCAAAGAAGAAAGTTTAATGCCTCTGTTTTGATTTGGCTGCTTCAACTACCCCCATCCCTACCCCAGAGTTGAGATTTTGCTGGTCATTGATATGGAAGTGGTCACTGATGCAGGTCTGCAGTTTGTTTTATTTCTCTGCAGTCTTGGCAGTTGCAGAGACATCTTGCCCTCTTAAAGAGTCTCTTGGAAATTAGCATTTTTAAAAATTACACAATTGCCTTAAATTCTTCACTATGTGTGAGGACATCTCTGTACATAAAAGTTATTTCAGATTAAGGAGAAGTGTATTTAAAAGGACAATAATTATTTTTCAATAGCTTCATATCTGGACATTTATTACAGAGTAAATCTGTCTTAATTTCTTCTTTAGCTTATCCACTTGCGAAATAGACAGGCTTATTCAGGCTTCCACATATGTTGGGATGCAGGCAGAACCTGCAGCATGGGAGAAGCCTCTCTCTCCGACTTTGGCGTGATAAAGCAGCACTGGGGGACTGCAGGCTGGTTTCTCCGAACACAAAGGGAAATTAACAGCTAGTGCTTGGTCAGGGGATTTCATTAGCACCAAGGCTGTATGGTTCTCATGTCCCACGGTGAGATCACTGGCATTACGCCTCTGCAACTGAGATCAGTATCTACATACGTACCAGGAGCAGAGGCAGAGAGAGAGCTGGGATGTTTTAAATGAGGTGCAAGAAGCGCCAGAGGGAACCTCCCCTGTGTGGTGAAGCTGGTGGGTCCCCACTGCCTCCTGCCCGGGGGGCTCCCAGCCTCCGGCTACGCTCGGCTCAACCTCTCGCACAAAATGAAACAGCATCTGCTGGAAAACCAGGCTGAGCCCAGGTTTGCTTTGAAAGTTTGATGTTGGGTTTCATCATGGAAGAGGTGTTTTCACACTGAAAAGGTGGGTGTTTCGCAAACTCTACCCGGCAGTTGAATTCTGATGGGAACAGGGCACCGATAGACTGCCTTTCACTGTAGTTGCCACTGGCTTACAAATGTAGTCTGGGTTTGATCTTGACTGCTTTTATTGATGTAAGAACCAGCAGTGTCTCATTTTCATGGAGATTCATTTTACACTAAGGTATCTGTCTTGATGGAAACAGTACACCTTTCTGCAGATTAAAATTAATTTAAGAATAATAAAAATAAAAGCTATGAATTAATTGAGGGGGTTTTTTTGGGTGTTTTCAGTTTTGTTCCCCTCTCCCCGCGCCCCCCAAGATGTGTTTCAGTTTTTCTCTTTGTGTTTTCCATTTTGGCTGAAGTGAGCTGATATACTGAGATGTGTCATGTGGTGTTGTGTCTATTCCAAACCATGCTGTGTGGAAGCTGTATACTGTACCTGCTATAAATAAATCAGATACTGGCCATTTATCCATCTGTCTGCAGCCCTCATTTCTCTCTCCTTGGGTGCTTTCTTGGACCTAGCTGCTCCAAACAGGCCTGTTTTAAAGTTCTCTGTAATTTAGGATCTCACTGAATGCATCTCTGCAGTGGAATCTGTCCATCTGTTGCTCTTCATTGCAGGTTGGTAATGCACCTGACTTGAATTGGGACCAAGAATGGCCCTTTTCTTTGCAGCCCTCATGGACAGGATGCGGTGGGGGGTCCTCTGTTGGGCACCATTTCATCGCAGTGATACCTCTTACCACTTTGCTCTTCTTACTTCCCATGTTTCCTTCATGTTATTTCCTTCCCCAGTCCTGACTTCTTTTTCTCCTTTTATTTCATTAATTTCCTTCTAAGTGAATTACTTTTTCTCTAAAATGTTAGTTCTTATTCAATAGGTAGACATAGTGGTGCAGTAATGGAAATGAGTGACAGCACCTGTATGCAACATGCAAAATCCAAATGCGAGGTTGCCAATGTGATGACAGGGAAGGAAGCAAGATGAGACATGGGAAGGCAGAAAGTACTCAGGCCCAAAGGAAAGCAATTTCTCTTGAGGAAATTCCTCATGTTGGCGTTGGAGTATGTTTTTTCAGCTATAGTGAAATAAACAGACATGGACATGACTTAATTTTCCTTTTTGCTCTGGATTCTGTACCCAAACGCACAGGTGAAACAGGATGAAAGATAAACGAGGAGGGAGAGCTCTAGGGAGGAAGAAAACCTGGGATTTGTGCAACTTGTTCTATCATGTGTCAACAGGATTTTCAGTGTAGTTTATGGATTAACTACTCATGTAATTATGGATTAACTAAACTTTAAAAGAAAATTACTTAGTGGACTTTGGCTCACATTTTTGCCTACTAAATGGCGTTTTCTTTACAAGTACACATGCAGCTGCCACATGAGAAATTCACACATGTAGCTGTTGTGGCCAAAGATGGCCTTTCCTGCTTTTGCACCAAGGCAATGTCAGTGCTCCCTGTATGGATTTAAAGCTGTTCAACCCCTCAGGAGAGGCCCCAGAAGGGGTCTTGAAGTATGGACTCAACTGAATGAAGGAGTGTTTGCTTTGCAAGAGTTCATTTTTCAGAGTCTTGAACTTTTTCGGCAAACAAAAGCTCAAAAAGCTGTTTATTTCAGATTTGCCTGACATCTTGCAGAGTATTGCCCCGATCCTGGTTAAGTGACCTGTCTCCTCTGACCACGCCTTTGGTACAAGGCAAATGTGTTTGTGTTTTCATGTAGTCTGAAACGTTGAACAGTGATTCACATACTGGTCCCCCTTCTAAGGATGCAAATAATTCAGGCAGTGATTTTTCACTCCATGGATGAAAGGAGTCGAGATTGTATGTCCTTGCCAAATTTCAAGCGTATCCGGTCATGCTGAGACACAAGGGCTGCTCACATGGTGGTGACAACAGCTTGTTTCACACTAAGAACATTTATTTTTCTTCCTCTTTAAAATCTTTATTCCCTGTCTGCATTTTCAAAAACTGAAAAAACTTTTTTTTTCCCCCCTTTTTTTTTCTGCTTCGCTGACAGAGAACAGACCAGGAAAACATAATCTAAAAAGGCCAAGTCTGGTAAAGTAATAAGTTATTAAAGAATACTACCCAGAATGGACAACATACCCAGGTATTTAGTGTCAAGTCTAGCTTTAATTTTTAGGCTTAACTATTGAATAAATTCTGGACATTTTACTTTGACTTTGTTCAGAGAAATATTTTTGGTGGAAATTGCAGGACTGCTTGTAACTAAACTGAAGCTCTTTAGGAAAGCTCTCGGAAGTTTTATTTAGCTTGACTTATATGTTTTAGGACACCTACATGCATGGATATCACTGCAATAGGAATTAACTTTCAAATATTTGCAAACAATTCTCACTCTGAGTGGATGGAAAGAATCATGTTGTTACCTGGAGAGAACAGAAATTCATGTTGAATCGTGCTGGAGAGAACTATGTATTTCAGAAAAGGTAAAATCTGGGTCCTTTTTGAAGCTGCTGTGAAGAAAGCAGCTTGTATCAGCACTGGTTCTATGTTTCATAACCATGTAAAATATGAGCTTGTGTTGTACAACAAAGTAATCCCCTAAAAACCTAGAAATCAAAATAGAAAGTCCTTTGATAGATTAAAGTCGGCATCTTTTTAACATTTGTTATCTATAACATTGCCTATGGACACTCCGTGGTGGCAAAATGAAATATTCAGTGCCATTTTCCCTGTACAAATACCTAGCAGCTTCTTCTCAAAAGCAAACAGAAATCCACCTCAGTTGCCTGAAGACCACATGGTGCTTCACATGGAAGATTCAAAAAAATCCTATTTGATATTTGACCTAATTCATGCCTTCTCCAAGCGGTTTGCTTAAAAGGCCCTGTCTCTCCTTCGGCTGGAGGCCGCCCTCCATCTTGGAGGGGTGCCTTGGGCTGGCGTGAGGCCTTGTGGGTGGGATGGTACGGGGTCGGAGGGGTCTTTTTTAGACAAAAAGTTGCCCCCTACTTCCTTTGGGGGCCAGGACCCTGTGATTTTCGACAGGGAGAGTGCTTGGGAACACAGGTTAAGTTATGTCGGATGGCTCCGGCCCTGTAGCTGCGTCATCTTTGACTGAGCTGTTTGCCGTTTCCCCCATGTTATAGGTAGGGGCCTGGCCTTCGCCATTTGAGAAGTTTGCAAGATATCATGCTGCCGATGGGGTTTTTTTTCCCCTATATGCATGGAGTAAACCCCCCCTGAGCTGCCTTGTGACAGCCATCGCCTTGCTCTGTAACAAACCGAAGGTGAAAATTTTAAAAGGCAGATTACTACACGATTACACTGGGTGTTTGTCTTTGGTGTCGTCAACTCCAGACGAGTGCTGTAAATAATGGCGGATGCTCTAGTTTTTAATTCCATGCAGAGTTTGTGTTTGAGATTGTTTACTGGCCCGGCTTGAATGGTCTGTCAAGTGTACGCCTCTTTAAAAAGACATCTTAACTTCTTAATTGTGTTACTATTGGGAACTAACCTTGTGTTATTTCTTTTCCTTCATATAGTTTTCCCTACACAAAATGGAAAGGTTGCTATAGTGACTGGAGGTACGAAAGGAATTGGTTACCAAACTGTGAAGCATTTGGCAAGACTTGGCATGCACGTTATAATAGGTAAAGTCATTATTTTTTTAATACATATTTTGTTTCAGAAAGTATTTTTTGTCTTTTAAGGAGTATTTTCTTTCCAGTACAAGTAAATATATGTCAGGGGAAGGAAGGAGCGGGGAGGAGCCAGGGTTTTGGTAGCATTCAGCTATGTAAAATTTGCACATTTTCTGCTTAGTTTGTTATTACAGGTGTCCTTTGTAGGCAAAACAAGAAAACACATTCCCTGAGAGGTTAATTTGTGTCAGCCTGAGACAGTTACCTTTTGGAGGTTTCTCTCCACTGAAATAAAGTTTATAAGGTGACTATGTTAGATTGAGATGTCTTTTAGACATCTGAAGTTAGGATAGGTGAATTTCTGTAGGAACTCAAAAAATTTCCCGAGTACAGAATTTCTTCTCTCTACTACAAACAATATTAGTGAGACTTTTTACTAATACTAATACATTTATATATTTTCCCAGAACACTACCTAACATCAACTTTTTTCCTATTTTCTAAAGCTTTCTGTACCACATATTTATAATAATGTATTTACTAAATCAGTATGTAATGTCATGAATACTTATGTTTGAAAACGTTTTACTCCCTTCATCTTTCATTCACCAGATTTTTACCTAAAACACTGTAACTTTTACACCATAAGGTCACTGAACGTGACCTAGCAAGTTGGTGATGCCATTTTATTTAGCTTTTATACAGAATGTGCTCTCTCTAAGGTTTTATATACAGGTCTTACAAAAACCCACACCAAACAATAAACAAGAGCATAGTAGCCATATATTTTTAGTCTAGTGCAGTCAGTAACACTAATGGAATTGCCCTGGAATCGTACAGGTGTAATGCAGACTACCATTTACTCATACATGTTTTAATAGATGTGTCAAAACCAAGCATCTGTAAAAATGCAAGCAGATGCTGCTATATGTAACTAGATGCTGTAGGTAACTAATGTAGCTAGATGTAGCTAATGATGCCAGCATTAATATTTCACTAAAGAAGTCTCTTTTCATGTTTAAGGTGGACTGTGAAAATGTATCCAGTGGGAAAACAAAAAGGCCAAATTTTCTTCTCTTTGCATAGTGTTATGGAAGCATAGAATATTGCTACTTTTTTTACATGTATACTATTTAATATTTAGGTTATTTTGTGTAAGAAAATTTGATGTGAGATCTTTGGGAAAGGGAATGTGATATAATTACAAAATCTCTAAATAAGCTGATTTGTTTTCAACTCACAACCACCCTCTCATAGATCTCATTCGCTCACACTCACACCCATGTTCTCACAAACACTGAGATGTGAGTGCTCAGGTGCTCTGGTGAGTGTCACTTATGTGCAGTGTGGAAAAATGTACAGCAGCTACTGAGTCCTTGTTCTGTCTCTGTGGCAGATCTTTTATTCTTTAGGAATCATCAGTTAGTAATTTTTCCTTGTTTGGAGTATATGGGCTATGTCTATGGCCTGTTTTCTGGGTGGGCTAACAGGAGAAGTAATGGTGTAGATGATAAGCCGCAACCATGAAGTTATCCTCCTCGTGTCAGGTTGTATGGTCATCTGCTGGCAAGTCCTCTGTGCGGTGGCCTTGATATAAGCAATGCAGGAATGGTGTCCTGGAAACATGCCTTTATTTTTGGTAAGGGGCATTCTTTTAATTCTTCACTCTGCTCTGTCTTCTGGTGCTTACAGGCACACACATTTCCATTTTCTCCTCATGTGTATCAACCTTAATATTTGCATTACGAATCTCTACAAATGTGAATTAATGAAATTAATTATAGGAAGCATTCGATGAGTAGGATTTTCAACTAATTCAGTTCTTTCAGGCAAACTCTGACCTAAGCACTGAGCCTGGTGAGTCACAGACATCTTCTTTGCCTGTGAAATTCTTCAGAGCAAAGAAGCCCTGTCAGTAGAATGGGTGGTCTCAGGCTTTGTTCCAGCTGCAAGCTTAAAACAGTCTCAAAAACACATTAAATGCAATGACCTTCCATCCCTGTTGCTAACTGTTGGCCCCAAGTGCCCAGAGTATGCCTAAAATACCTGCTGGCACATTGGCATGCGTTAGCACATTCAGCTTAAGGCCACGCACACAAAGATTTAAGCCTCAAATAAGACTGCAAAGTGTGGTCAAGCTTTCTACTCTACAAATGTTTTCACCTTATGTTTGTATATAGGCGTGAACTTAGGTGAAAAAAGCGTGGATGTTAGGTGAATTTGGGCTTGCAAGAGAGACTCGTGTGTAAGTCACAGTCAATCTTGCCCATTCACTGAATGCTTCTTTCCCATTACAGGGGGTAAGCAATGGGAATATTTAGCAATAAAGAATGATATCCCTGCAGCGGTCAAATGAGTCAAACCTGAATGTCTGATGTGAAGATGATTCACCAGTTGTGATGGATGTGATTTTGACTCCATTTGACATTTTATAAGAGTAAATGTTTGAAGTAACTTACTTTTAAATCCAATCTACCAATGGAATGAGGAAAACAAATAAGTATAAAGCATGTTACCTTGTGCAACATGAATAAGGACTGTGTGAAAAGGCAGTGTGCTCACTCAGAGCATTTTCAGCAAGCGGTTGCACAGTGCTTCTGCAGCTCCTTTCTAGTCCCAGCACTGGTGCACAAGACTGCTTTCTCCCTGTGATGGTCTCCCTCTGCAGATCCTGCTTGCCCTGCCCTCAGTCTTTCACTGGGAAAGAGGTTGGCGTGAATGCTGAAGTGATGAAAGTAATTTTCTATGGGTTTGTTTGATAGATTTTGTTGAGACTTTTTGCCAGGGTGCGATAGCATTACTCACAGTGAGCAGGGCCTTTACTTCGAGAAGATCTCATGACAGACAGCAGATCCCTGGTAGGGAAAACTACTACCAGCAGTGAATCTCCAGAGACAAGCCACACCAGGAGCTCCTGTTCCCTCCTATGCAATTTACTGCTTGATGTGTAAGCTTGCAGTTCCATTTTCAGTCAGAGAAGGTAAACAACACACCATTTTTGGTGCCTACTGACCATTAACTGTTACTGAAGATGGTGGTTTATGTGCACCTACAAATAAATAGGCTCTTAACAATAAGGACATTGAAAATCAAGACAACTTGGTCATTTTTATGACCCCCAGTCATAAAACCCAGTAGGTTCAGCTGTGGTTCACAGTGTTGGCCACAGTTTTGTAAATTTAGACCGATTAGAAACATAAACTCTTCATATTCCTTCCATCCTTCATCACTGGGGCTTAATTTTAAGAGGATTCTGTTAGTGCATGTTAAAATTGTTGACTTTTACAGAATCACAGAATCACAGAATCTTCTAGGTTGGAAGGGACCTTAAAGATCATCTTGTCCAACCGTCAACCTAACTGACAAAAATAGACTAAAAATAGAGCTTCTGTTTAATTTATTTTTTTTTTTCTTTTTTTTTTTTTTTCTCAGTATATTAATAGAAGAAGGCTGAAAAAATGTGTGGTAATATCTAATATAGAAGCTTTGGTAATTCTGCCTGATAATGGTGAATGAAACTCAAAAGATTTCCAGCTTGACATTATTACATATATGCTGCTTGGTATAAAACACCAGGTTCAGGGCAGAGTAATCAATCTTTAGTGTCTGAGTATATCAGTGTCACAATTTTCTAAGACAGACTCACATTCTGAAGGAAACAGTCTCATTATATTTATATATATGTACATATATTCAAGTGACTTATTTAAGCCATGCAATAAATGTAGTTTCATCATCAGACTCAGCACTTCTGTGTGACCTCTGTAAGCCCTGCAGGAGACCAAGCAAGAGATATTTCTATCATCTCTTTCGTTCACATTACTTTCCAATTTTCAAGCTGGACTCTCCGCACTATAAATCAAACAATTCTTATATTTTATAATACTACAAAGTGACTTTAGAAGGATAATTAAACCCTATCAGGATGGTGCTATTTTTCATTTTCAAAGATGGCTTGATTTAATTTCAATTACTGAAAATTTATATGGGATACTTTAATAGTCTTTTCTCACTATACATAGATGTTTTACATGCTTGAGTTATAATTTCTTCTAGAAAAGTATTTATCTTCCTAATTTTAGCCAGATTTTGTTAGGCTTGAATGAGTTAGTCAGGAAGTGTCAAAATGTCACCAGTCTTTTAAAACTGGGTGATGGTTTCCTTTCTCTAAGAAAATGCATGAAGACTGTCTTGTAAATGTCATTAAGTTCAATTTTTAACATATCAGGGTTATCAGAAACTCTACTTACAGTGTTGTCTGTTATTTCTACACTATGTGTGTGCACACAGCCACACACAGCCTTCCAAATTGGTAGTTTTGTCGAAAACGTCAGTCTTTAATTTATGTTTGAAGGCTGTCACTGCCCTAGCTTTAAAAATACTTTTTCATTTTTTAAAAAATGTGTTTGTTTATGTTTATTAATTTTGAACATCTAATCTGTAAAATTTTATGATTTTTTTAATAATTCGCAGTGGTTTAAGACTACTTATTTATGAACAAACTCATTACATTATTCCTTGGGACATTTGAAACTATGACTAAAATAGTGTCCAACATCTGAAAAGATGCTTAGAGCACAAGAATTCTCTTTTGGGGCAGTAAGCTCAAGTAGAAATAAAACTCAATCAACTGTGAAGGTGTATTGCATAGTCAAATACTATCATTAACTGAGCTCAACCATCATGTGGATGAAAGAGATTTTGGTTGATATGGTTTGTTTGGATTTCTAGAAATATTAAAGCAAAATTCCTTAAGGCTTTTAAGGATGCTACACAGCTCAAAGGATAAGTACAAATGTCATTACATTCATACAATCACATTCTGTGTAATGACAGAACATAGACATAAATGTTTATTTGTTTAGTAGAGGGGATGTCACTGGAGGTCAACAAGCATGCTTTCAATGTATCATTTTAGAGGAGGAGTTATATGTGTCATCACAAGTCTTTCAAATTGTATTAGATTATTCAGGGTAATAAAGACCAGGGACGTGTGTGAAGAATTGCAGGAAGACCATAAGAAGCTGAGTGTTAGCAAGGATGTGCATTTTGGTGTAGAACAATATGGAGTGATGGACATGGGGAAAAAGAGAGACATGAGGAAAAAAATCTTAAGTCCAGAAAACAGAATGATGGGTTCGGAGTTGACCATCATCACTTTGGGGGAAGATCTTAGGGCTTCATAGACCGTTCTATGAAAACTCAGGGCTCAATAGCTTTCAATTCCTCAGGAAGGTTGTTTTGTGTAGTCCAGTAAGTGATTTTTATATTGAAAAAAATGTTAAGTATTGTAAAAAATACAGAGTTAAATATGTGATGATAAATTTTGGAAGAGTTAGTGCAGTTTTTCTTGACGTTTATTTTAATTTATTCATTAAGCACGTATTAAATGCTTTGAAAAATTAAACAACCATGCAAATTAATTTATTCTTGATTTTCAAAAGCTTTTGGCAAGGTTCATGTCAAAAGATTTTAAAGTGGCTAGCTTGTCTTGAGATAAGAGAAAGATCTCTTGTAGATATTAGTAACTGATTAGGAGACAGAAAACAACATTTAGGAATTAATTGTCAGCTTTGGGATGGAGCAAAGGGACTCCTGATCTCATAGGCATATGCTCAGTACATTTGTAAAAGACAGATACAGAAAAAAGGGTGAACAGTGACATGATGCATTTTGCACAAATTGTTTAGAATAGTCAAAATAATTTGACTATAGATAATTAAGGGATTTGAGCATCTGAAATACAAGGAAAGGCTGAGAGAGCCGGGACTGTTCAGCCTGGTGAGGGGACAGGAAAGAAGATGGAGCCAGGGTCTGCTCAGTGATGCCTGTGACAGGACAAGAGGCAATGGGCACAAACCAAAAAGCAGGAAATTCCATTTAAGTGTTAGAAAACACATTTTCACATTGAGGGTGTTCAAACAGGCTTCCCGGAGAAGTTGCAGTGTCTCCATCCTTGGAGATACTCAAAACCTGACCAGACATGGTCCTGGGCAACCAGTTGTAGCAGAGGGTGGGACTGGATGGTCTCCAGAGGTGCATTCCATCCTGTGATCCTGTGAAATCTTAACTACCGTGAAAAACAGGGAAGAAACTCACAATATTGAAAAGATGGATAAATACTGCATACCAGTAAATGCAAATACTGCATATGAGGAAAACTCCCACACCTATAAATTTACAACAATAGGATCTAAATTAACTACTACAACTCAAAAAAAAAATTAAATATTGTGATTTACTGTTGAAATCTCTCTGCAGAACATCTTCAATATTCAGTGCCAGTAAAAAGTAAATAAAATCATATTACTTAGAAGGAAAGAAGATGAAAACAGGACAGGAAACGTTCCTCTTCCTTTTTAAAAATCATTGGTTCATCCTGTTGTGAATACTCAAAATGAGACTGGTAAAACTGGAAAAAAGAGAGAGGGATGGTGAGGAGGATGGACTGACTCTGTGCTAATGAGCAAAGGTTTTTCTGCTTGCAAACAGATGACAGAGGTATGATGTCATGCAATTATGAGTGGTATAGAGAAAGTTAATGAGTAGTGATTATTGTCTGTCTTATTGTACACAAAGCAGAGAACATCTCAAAAAATAAATAAAAAACTCCACCACTGAAGCACAAAATTTTTAATA